AGGGTAAGAAGTGAGGAAGGAAAGATGGAGGGTGAAGGAACAGGGGACGAAGATGAGATCAAAAGCATAGGAGCTTAATTATTACTAGAGCTATGAGGGGACAGAAAAAGTAGATACAGAGGGCAACTGAGAGTCAGGACGGAACTGAAGCTGTACAGATAGAATTTTGTCTTAGAGAAATAAAGTAATGGACAGAAGAGCATGGTGTACATAGATTCTTTTCCCTCAGATAACCCCACGCCAGACATAGCATCTTCCCCAGGACTCTGGGAGGAATCTTCTCAGGGAAGGCCCTTGGGAAAATTCTGTTAGGTATCATCATTTTGGTAAATGCTTTAGTTCTTTGTCATCAATATCAGCAGACTTTCAAGTTGCCATTGCTTCTGTACTGGGACTTTCTCTGAGTTACATTGGAGCCATCTTGAATGTTCTTCCTCCATTTGAAATTCGCTGCTCTTTCTGGGGTCTCTTTCCTAGTTGGCAGTGCTTTGTGTGAGCCCCAGTCAGTATGGAGTCCTTACTCTCTGTGATCTATTTGCTCATCTTCTAGGTCTACCTATAAAATTGACCCACATTGACAACCTTGCCATTTTGATGGGTCTGGTTCAAGCTTGGGCCATGTCACTTTGGGACTCCCCAAAGCCTCTAATCTCCAAGGTCACCTGCCTCCTTGGGCTTCCGTGGAGGCGTTCACATCCACACATTGCTCAGAGGCTGTGTTGACTCTCTGCTCTGTCAAGTGTTCTGGGTCCTGCACTGCCCGCCTTTCTTCCCCTGTCCCTAAGCAGTCGGTGTGTTAAACATGCACCCGGGTCCCCACCTTCTCACCTTGATTTAGTTTGTCTGCTTTTTATAACAATTTCTTCATAAACTCCCCTGTTGTTTCACTCTCTCATTCTCCAGGATTCCAAAGCCCCGCCTCTGGGTTTTCTATAGCATTTATGCTTAGGAACTTACACAACAAGAGAAATTTGTCACTTATTTTCCCAAATAGCTCATTTCATTGTAACCTAGCTAGCCACGTCTTGCAAAGGAGCAGACTGGACTAGGTGAGGGACTGAGTTCAAGCAAGGCCTGCCAACAAGAGCCAGCTGTGACCATTCCCAGAGAGCCCATGTGAGAGCACAAGCCACATAGAACAGTGAGCATGGGCTGTCCTCCTCTGTCCCTAGCTCCTTGTCTCTATATTTGATTGGAACAGAGCGCAGGCCATCATCAGGGTAGACAGAGACAAGAGTCATCAGTCAGGGAAGGAGAAGCAGGCAGCTCCTGGCTGGCGGCTCCTGCTCCCTGTGCTCAGAGCCTGAAGCAGCCTTCACTGGGTCAACACTGGAGAATGTGCAGTGGATCAGACGGAGCCTGATAACGGCTGTCCCTGGACTATGAAATTTACTGGCACTGTGTAGCAGGGTCCTTTGCTGTTATTCCCTTTTGGGGGCGGGGGCCATGTAGGCGCAGAGTCAAACCACACAGACTCTGGGAGAATGTCGAAACAACAAACTCAGTTTATTTGGGAAGAGACAAGCCTTATATACCCTCCACCCCACCCTGGAGGGAGGTCTGATAAATGCATCTGCTGGTGTGACATGGCTGTCTCTTATTGGTCCGGGTCATCTCCAGATCATGTTTCAGCTGCTGTTGCTAAGACCATCAGGCAGACCCAGTCTGGCTCTCAGAAAGTATCTTTTTACTTGTTTGGGCCGTCTGGCCCTCAAGTGGTTAGGAATGAGTCATCCCACAGCACTGTAGTACTTTACTATAGGAAAGTGAGTGGAAAGGCAGGGACCAAGCAGAGGAGGTGGAAGTTATCGGTACTAGAGAAAGTTGAAAGGGATAAAGGAGACCTAAAATGATGACGTGTTCCTGGGCATGTCAATAGTATGCTGAGATCAAAAGGTCTACTGAGATGTGCACTTATTTAATCACTAAACAAAATCAAAGTGGCTTCCTTATGACAAGATGCCTCCTCAGAGTTCTTAATATGGTGGTGTATGTGGTGGACCTACAAGAAGTCTTCTTAGACAGCAGCTGCCTGGTCATTCAGTTTCCTGTGTTCATAGTGTGCATATTTAGAAGCCTCAGTGCTGCTCCAGGCCACAGCAATAGCATCCTGAGCGCATAGATGAAGAATATCCTGGTTGTTCCTTTTGTTCTGAAGAGTTGAGGCAGGTCCAGGACACCTTAATAGATGAAGAGTTATTAAAGAGATAAATACAGAAAATAAGAAACATGATTCTCAAGCAGAGGGATCAAGTCCCTTGGGACAAAATCTGGGCATTGCAAAGTCATTTAAATGACACTATAAGTCTTCAGTAGTGATTTATTGGGTATGGCACCCAATATAGAGGCAACAAAGGCCAAAGATAGATGAGTTGGTTGACATTGACATTAGAGATTTCTAAGCACCCAAGAACCTGCTCAGCACAGTGAAAAGGCAACACACAAAATGAGAGAAAAGATTTGCAAGTCACATATCCAGTAAAGGACTTGAATATAGGATACAGAAAGAACTCTTACAACTCAAATTTAAAAAGATGAATGATCAGGGCTGGATGGTTGGCTCAGACGTTAAGAGCACCGGCTGTTCTTCCAGAGATCATGAGTTCAATTCCCAGCAACCACATGGTGGCTCACAACCATCTATAATGAGGTCTAGTGTCCTCTTCTGGAGGGCAGACATACATGAAGACAGAACACTGTACACATAATAAATAAATACATCTTTGTTGCTGGAGGGCTTCTCTCCAGGTTCCACCAAGCCCCGCAGTCCCACAATCCACGTATAAAATAATCACTCAGATGCTTATATTACTTATAAACTGTATGGCTGTGGCAGACTTCTTGCTAACTGTTCTTATATCTTAAATTA